AGAGAGAGAGAGAGAGAGCAGTAACTTCAAAATCTTATGATAGAGAGGAGAGGGATAAGACTGTTTTCTCTCTCGGGATGCGTCACTGATGAATTTGAAAACTAATTTTGCCATTTAGGCCATTAGTAGGCCATGAGTGTTAGGGATGCTCATTTTGCTCCTCACACTAACCCCTGGTACAGTTTATTAAGTTTATTAGAGAACGTCCGACAAGCACAAGCATTGACTGACAGGACATTAAGTAAACAACATTTAATTCTTATTTGCTCAAATGCTGTATGTAAAATGTTTGTTGTGTATTATACCTATAAGAGCTGGTATTAAAAAGACTGAAAATATAGAGAGGGTGTCTAATTATCACTGTGGTAGTATGCAGGTCTTTTTTTAACCTCTTTGAGTGAAGGGGCGGTTTTTATAGACTGATCTGACATGAGAAGATTGATCTTCCCAACTAACTAAAATTAGAACCAGATTGATGTGTGATTTTCAAGACGATAGCAAAGTATAGAGTGGAAAAACTCACTGACTACTGATATGTTAGTTGATGTTGTGAACTTTCGAGCTGAAATGAAAATTGACCTTTTCTATGTGGATTTTACATTAAATATTTATTAACTTATGTAAGTTAAATATTCTTTAAAGATGTTAATAATTGCAGAGCATATTTTGCTGACCAAGATTTCGTCAAATTGTTGAGCTGGGCTTCTTTCCTTTACTCTGTGCTGCTTGCCGCAGATCTGTAATGCACTGCGCACTCTGCTGGAAAAACTCTGCGGTGACACTAATATATTACCACAAACACTTTCTTCTGCACATATACCGGGAAAAACTGTTTTCATATCAACACATATTGGATAACGTATACACAGACATCGATTCCAATATGTCTGTGATAGGCCAATATCACCATTATATTGGACGGGTTCGACATAAAAACAGGCTCTTTCACAGTGTTGCTGAGTTCATTAAACTGATTTTGCGCATAAGGAATGAACACTAAGATATTTAATTTACCCTAATGAAGAAGATGTGCATTTCTCTCTTTCTGCATGTGTCACCTTGTGCTGCTGCAGGCTTTACGTTAATACGACAGCTTCAGTTCAGACATGTGTCTTGTTGAAGGAAATGTTATGAGCTCCAACCTAGTAAACTTGCAGTTTTGACTGTTATGTAAAA